GAAGATATCAATAAATCTCTTAAGGAAACCCAAGAAAATCAAAAAAAAAAAATCAAGCAGGTGAAGCAAATAGTTCAAACAGTTGAGGACTTGAAAACTGAAATAGAAGCAATAAAGAAAATGCAAACTGAGGTAATTCTGGAAATGGAAAATCTGGGTAAATGAATGAGAACCACAGAGGCAAGCATATCCAACAGGATACAAAAAATGGAAGAGAGTGGTGTGGGAGGTCCACGTGGTGGACTAAATCCATGTGAAACCTGAGAAAGCTTGAAAAGAAATTCTAGATACAAAAACACAGAGTTTAACACAGCTTCTTGCTCTTTATTGGTTGTGTGCCACAGCTCCCTTAAGAAAGGCTTTTATGATTCAACCATGACCATTTTGAGATGCTGGCTTTCTGGGCCTTGCTGCCCGCATGACCTCTGCAGCAGATATGCTGCAAATGCTAAGAGACCATGGATAGAAGCCCAGACTACTATGCCCAACAAAGCTTTCAATCACCATCAATGGGGAAAACAAGATATTCCATGACAAAACTAGATTTAAACAATACCTATCCACAAATCCAGCCCTATAGAAAACACTAGAAGGAAAATTCCAACCTAAGGAAGTTAATTGTACCCTCCAAAACATAGGCAACAGATAATCTCATATCAGCAAACCAAAAGAAGGGAAACACACAAACACTACCACCAAAAAGTAAGAGGAATTAATCAATGGTCATTAATATCTCTTAATATCAATGAATTCAATTCGCCTAAGGATAGACTCAAGTTAAGAGAATTGATATGAAAGCAAGATCCATCCTTTTGTTGTATACAAGAAACACATCTCGACCTAAAAGACAAACATTACCTCAGAGTAAAGGGTTGGGAAAAAGATTTTCCAATCAAATGGACCTAAGGAACAAGCTGATGTAGCTACCTAATATCTTAAAAAAAAAAAAAGACTTCAAATTAAAATCAATCGGAAGAGATGAAGACTCGGTACACTTTATACTCATCACAACAAAAATCCAACAAGATGAAGTCTCAATCCTGAATATCTATGTTCCAATTACAAGAGCACCCACATATGTAAAAGAAGCATTACTGAAGTTTAAATCACACATCAAACCCCACACAATAATAATAGGAGACTTCAACACCTCACTCTCACCAATGGACAGGTCAACCAGACAAAAACTTAACAGAGAAATAAGAGAACTAACAGATGTCATGACTCAAATGAACTTAACAGACATCTACAGAATATTCTACCTCAAAACACAAAAGAATATACCTTCTTCTGACCATCTCATGGAACCTTCTCTGAAATTGATCACATACTCAATAACAAAGCAAACCTCAATAGATACAAAAAACCTTGGAGTAACCCCTTGTGTCTTACCAGATCACCATGGTTTAAAGTTAGAATTTAACAACAACACTAATTGCAAAAAGCCTACAAACACAGGGAAATTAAACAGTATTCAACTGAACCACCCCTGGGTCAATGAAGAAATAAAAAAAAATTAAAAACTTCCTAGAATTCAGTGAAAATGAAGGCACTATGTACCCAAACCTAAGGCAGTGCTAAGAGGTAAGTTCATAGCACTAAGTGCCTACAGAAAGAAAGTGGAGAAATCTCACACCAATGACTTAACAGCAAACCTGAAAGCTCTAGAATAAAAAGAGGCAGACTCACACAGGAGGAGTAGATGACAGGAAACAATCAAATTGAGGGCTGAAATCAATAAAATAGAAACAAAGAAAACAATACAAAGAATAAATAAAACAAAGAACTGGTTCTTTGAGAAAATTAAAAAGATAGACAAACCCTTATCCAAATTAATCAAAAGGCATCAAAACAATAAAGCAGAGAACATCCAAATAATAAAACAGAAATGATAAGGGGGGCATAAGGAAATCCAGAGACTCATTAGGTCATACTACAAAAACCTATACTCTACCAAATTGGAAAATGTAAAAGAAATAGACAATCTTCTGCATAGGTACCACATATCAAATTTAAATCAAGACCAGGTAAACAATTTAAATAGACCTATAACCTGCAAGGAAATAGAAACAGTCATCAAAAACCTCCCAACTAAAAAAAGCCCAGGGTCGGAGGGTTTCATTGCAGAATTCTACCAAGACGCCCAAGAAGAATACCTATACTCCTCAAAGTGATCCACACAATAGAAACAGAAAGAACATTTTCAAACTCTTTTTGTGAGGATACACTTACGCAAACCACACAAAGACATTACTAAGAAAGAGAATTACAAACCAATCTCCCTCATGAACATTGAAGCAAAAATATTCAACTAAATATTAGCAAACCACATCCAAGAACACATCAAAAAAAAAATCATCCTCCATGATCAAGTAGACTTCATCCCGGAAATGCAGGGATGGTTCCACACACACAAATCTATTAGTGTAATCCACCATATAAATAAACAGAAAAAAAAGTCATATAATCATCTCATTAGATACTGAAAAAGCATTTGACAAAATCTAACACCCCTTCATGATAAAGGTCTTGGAGAGATCAAGGACACAAGGAACATACCTAAACATAATAAAAACAAAATATAGCAAGTCAGCAGCCAACATCAAATCAAATGGAGAGAAACTCAAAGTGATTTCACTAAAATCAGGAACAAGACAAGGCTGTCCACTCCCTTCATATCCATTCAACATAGTTTTTGAAGTTTTAGCTAGAACAGTAAGACAAAAAAAAATTAAATTTGGGCTAATCCAAAGAATCAGGATGCCAAGTGTGTCACACACATGAAATTCATTAAAAATTTCAAGAGTGTGGGCAAAGATGCACAGACCAAAGGATATCACTATAATCACAGATTATTCCTGACTTTGTGGTTCAGATGCATCCTTAGAACAAATGAATTCTCCAAGTGAGATGGGTTTGTTTCACACAAGAAGTCTTTCAGGTTAATATTTATACATACAACTAGTCTATGTCCATAAAGTTAGTCGGCACTATTTTCTAGGCTTTTGTATATCCTGAAGAGTCATAATTCTAGGTTTGTTCAGTACACGTTTTCTGAATCCGAAGCATCTGACTAGAACATTATACAGGTAAGAACATCCCTTGACTAACACGTTTATAAGGCTGTTCTATATAGTCCCTTCTCTCCTAAACATGCACTTTCTAGTTCACTTTAAGGACAGAGAAAGAAATTAGAAAAAAAAAATCTTCTTTGTGGTGTTGACACCTGAGGTAACAGACTAGAAACAATCGTGGCAATTACTATGGAAACATAGTTAGCTATCTGGTGGTCCTTTCAATTTTAATCTTAGACAAATGTAAACAAAATAGCAAACTGTTCCCTGAAATTACTACATAAGATCTTGAGAAAGAGGGACTCTTCAAAGTCAAATATCACAAGTTTTAAATAGCAATACAATGAGCCCAGCATAGTGGTGCATGCCTTTAATCTCAGCACTTGGGAGGTAATGGTAGTTGGCTTTCCATGAGTTCAAGGACAGCCTGGTCTAAAAAGGAAGTTCCTTAACAGTCATGACTGTGTAAAGAGACCCTGTTCTCTGAGAGAGAGAGAGAGAGAGAGAGAGAGAGAGAGAGAGAGAGAGGAGGGAGGGAGGGAAGAAAGAGAGAGAGGGGAAGGAAGGAAGGAAGAAAGGAAAGAAGGAAGGAAGGAAGGAAAGAAGGAAGGGTGAGCAGTATATCCATAAAACATGGTGAAACATAATGTTGACAGTACCAACAATGATTTAATAACACTGCTATTTCTAACTATTTTCTGCAGAATTGTGCTTAAACATATATTGTACCTGTCCTCTGGTTGTTTACTCAAAAAGTCTTGTTGAATGGCCCAGATCTCATGACTCCTTTGAGAATCGTTCAGCTGAATATGGTTATTTGTCAAAACTCTTGCAATGTCAAAATTACCAAATTTCAAGCTGAGTTTAAAAAAAAAAAGAGCATGCTACATTCCTGCTTTAGTGTAAGGCACACAGCATACTTTATCTGTTTTTATAAAGTTCTCTCAGGTGCCATAAAAAACAAATTAAATACACAGGTCTTTGTTCCCAAGAAAATTGCAGTTTAGCAGACTCAACAAACTGAAAAATCAGCAAAATGACTGCTACAGCTGCCCATGCTGAACTGTCAAGTGTCACTCAAATGAATGGTGGGACAAGAGCTGGAGTGTTACTGCCTGTTACCCAAGAAGACCAAAAGCTTTGCTCTGCTGAGCTGTGGGCTCGAGCCTGGTCTATGCCTCCTTTGCTGGCTGTCGGCTTCATCATCCGCGAAACTTGTTCTGAACAAGTACAACCAAATTCTAAATTCATGGGGAAAACACGACAAAGAGAATGGTTATACAATGTGTCACTAAGTTCCAAGAACTGAAACTTTCCGGTGCACATTTTGTTTGGAGAAAAATATTTTTCCTTTCAGGTATGAGAATCATGAGTCACTGCATGGAGAAAAAACTTGAAGTATCTTTACCCTGGTGCCTCTCTATGACATAGAAGCTATGATTTGAATATAACTTGTGCCCCAAGAGTTTGAGAACTGGAAGTTTGGCTCCAGAAAATTATTTTGAAATGTGAGGGAAGCTTAAGAAATGAACCTAGTAAGAAGTCACTAGGTACAGTGAAGCCTAATAAGAAGTCATTGGGTACAGTGAAGCCTAGTAAGAAGTCATTGGGTACAGTGAAGCCTAGTAAGAAGTCATTGGGTACAGTGAAGCCTAATAAGAAGTCATGGGGTACAGTGAAGCCTAGTAAGAAGTCATGGGGTACAGTGAAGCCTAATAAGATGTCATGGGGTAGAGTGAAGCCTAGTAAGAAGTCATGGGGTACAGTAAAGCCTAGTAAGAAGTCATGGAGTACAGTGAAGCCTAGTAAGAAGTCATGGGGTACAGTGAAGTCTAGTAAAAAGTCATGGGGTACAGTGAAGCCTAGTAAGAAGTTGACAACAACCTTCCTACAAAAGGTTGTTGCCGACTGCGCAGACGCGGAAGCTTTCGGTCTGGCCTCAGCATGGCTGCCCTGCTTGTGAGAAGCGCGGTGGCTTCGCTCATGGATCCACTTCTGCACCTGAGTCGCCTCGCAGTAAAGCCCCGGGTTTTCTCCTCGTTCCTGCTGGGGATTCTTCCAAGCGCCAGACTCTGCGCAGAGGTGCGCTTGCTTCTCTGGGCCCGCCCCCTGCCGCACCTGCAGCCCTCTCTGGGCTTCAAGACCAAGGGTGTCCTCAAGAAGCGCTGCCGGGACTGCTACATGGTGAAGAGGCGCGGGCGCTGGTTCGTCCTCTGTATGACCAACCCCAGGCATAAGCAGAGGCAGATGTAAGGACGCATGCCCATAGGAAGTTCGTTTCGCCGAATCAGAGAAAAATAAATGTAAGCATTCTGTAATCGAAGATCTGTGGGCCTTGGAGTTTTGTCTAACTCACCCGTTTAACCCAATCATAGCCCAGTTCCTTCAAATCTAGCCAGACCAGAGCTGCAGATGGGAAAGGATTGTTACTGTTCCTCAAACTGTGTTGAGCGGGAGGACAAAAGAAACAAGAATACAAAGCCGACTTTATCTCTTGAGACAAGGTCTGGCTCCATATCCCTGGCTGTCCTGAAACTTGCAGAGAACCTCCTGCCTCTGTCTCCCTGGAGTCATCAAAAGCAGCAGAATGCAAGGTTTAAGAAACCAACTGAGCCAGAAGGCCCCCTTGGGGAGCACAGCAATCCCAGCTTAAAAATAAATGGTGTTGTTGGGTAACAACTATCCCAACCTTTACTCGAGGAAAACCTTGTTTGCATAGAGATGTCTTTCAGAAACCAATTAAAAATGTTTGTCATGACTGCCCTTAAAAAAAAAAAAAAAAAAAAAAAAGGTTGTTGCCAAGGAGCAGGACGGATCTTGGTGTGATGGTACACACCTGAAGCAAGAAGTGACAAAGTTGTAGCCAGCCTGAGCTACATACACACATAGCTACATAACAAAAACAACAAACAGGAGCAAGACTGTCTCTTTTCCTGTTTCTCTAGTTAACTTCCTGCCTCGTCATGGTTTCTTTCAGCAATGTGATATTACCAATCAAGAAGTGACTCCGCCAAGAGAACGTCCTCACCAGATGGCAAGCATGATGAGCCGTCAGACCTCAAGCAATCAGCCTCCAAAACTATGGATTAATTAAACTTCTTACTTTTTGTGTTGTCCAGCCTCAGGCACTTTGTTGTGGCATCGTCTGATTTTAAGCTTAACAGTTCAGATGGACAGGTGTCCTGGCAGTCGGGGTCAAGGAATACAAAAGAGGCACACTGCACAATAAATCTCACCCAAGAAATTTTCAGGAAGGGGAAAGAACAGGAGGGTGAGTGCCTCTGCATGGGGGAGAAACAGTGAAGAATGAAGCAGAAGGCAGGGTTTATATAGTTTCTTGGGGAAAAGGAGGGGTGGAACTTTTCAGGGTGAAGCTATTCAGGTTGGGGATTGGTGGAATTTCAAGTCCCTGAGTATGGACTTTTTGCTCTTAGAATGGGGGCTGGGTCCAGCTGTTAGGGGAGGCAATTAAAGTGTTCTGGGGATGGAAGCTGGCAGTTAGAGGTCCTCAGGAGAAAGGCGTGGCCACTCATGCACCCAGAGGGGCTTACAGTAGTAAGAATTTCTCCTGTAGTTGGGTAGAAAATAAAAAGAGAGAAGGGATGGAGAGAAAAAGGGGGAAAGAGAAAGAAAAAAGGAAGAAAGAAGAAAGGAAGGAAGGATGAGGAGAGGGAGGAGGAAAGGAGAGAGGAGGCAGGGAGGCATGGGGGTTTTTTGCCAGAAAAGAAACCATGGCAAACTCTTTAAAAGAGGCACCCAAAATTCTCAGGGCATGCATTCATGCATTCTAGTGGACACTACATTCATGTATCATATCCTAGGGCACACTTCCAACAGAAGCTACGTCAACTTCATAAACCTTTGAAGGTTCATTGTCAGTTTCTCACTCCTGTCACGGAACACTGAAGACCAGGGCAATATGCTTCAATGACAGAAATAATCTCCCTAGCCCTGGTCACAATAAAGAGAATATCACCAAGGAGTTAGAAAACTGGCTCAGCCTATGCTGACTGTAGCAGTTACGTAACTAGCTTTCTGACTCTAAAAATAAAGAGGGGGAAAAATTCCAGCTTAAAAAAATTCCAGCTTAAGCCTTTAAAAAAAATTACTTCATAATGGAAGAAACGTTTGAATTTTTTAACTGGTGCCCAAGCACACGGAAGAAAGCAAGATGGGTAAAGATTTAAATTCAATCCCTTTCTTCTATTGTGTAAGACTACAGCATCAACAACTGGCAATTGAGAATAGAGATACATCATTATACTTATTTATAGCATTAACTACTTTACATTCATCCACACAAGTGAAACTGTAAAAAAAAAAAAAGATAAAGGGAGTGTGCGGTTATTTCATTAGCTTGTCTGTAATACTGGATTGGTCCATAAATTAATGTGTGTAAGAGGATGAGAGCGAAGAAAGAATTCAAAGTGTTACCATTGTAATTATAGCTCTTTAAATATCAAAAGACACAAAGAAAGATTCCTTTTTGAAAAGACTACCGACTCTCTTGGCAAGACACTATTAATTACTCACATAAATCTGCAGTTTGCACAGCCAGAGCTATGGGTGACATCACATTTGCCAAGTTCTGGGTCCCCGTGGTCACAGAGTGTTTCTTTAAACTCCTGTTTGCCAAATGATCCCTCTGTAAACTCTGGCTTTGTGTGTGAGGAAAGGAGCAGAGAGCTCTGGATCCAAGTAGCTATGAGCCTCTCACATAGGCTGCAAGTCATTCAATTCAATCAGAAAAACTGCAACATGTGAATTACTAAATTATGCTGGCGAACGCCATGAGCAATAATAATATCACAGTCTTATTTAAAAACAATACATATAGCTTCTATAAACAAAGGTTTATGAAAAAACCACACAGGCAGGTAAAATATATGAAGTGGACTCCCAACCTAAATTAAGAGGGATAGCCCCAGAGGAAAGAACACTCTTTCCAACTACATGGGAAGCATTTGCCTCTACATTTTTAGGTTTTATAGGCAACACTTAATCAACACTTCTCTTTTGAGCATCCATTGTACAGAAAAGTTAATAGGATTAAAATCTGGCCTGTAGCTCTACATTTTTATAAGAAATACTGGCTCTAGGGAGCATCTTCCAAGTTGCTTCAGAGGAGAGAGGGAGATTGTGTTGCTTGATAAAATAAAAGCCTAAATTCTAAGCAGCATATGTGCCCCCTGCTGTTCCCAAGCACCAAGTTTTGCCTTTAAACATGCACAAAAAATTCTGAAAATTTTGTGGAAAGGAAAATGGACTAAGGACCCAAGGGAACCTGGTCATCTCCTTGGAGAAAGTGAAGCAGACACTGAAGGCAGCAAAACCAAAATCCAAATTTGTGAAGATGCTGGAGTGAGAAGAAAATGGCCGGTGTTCTTCCCAATGTCTACCTGCTGAAAACCACGTCAGACTATTGCCAGGACTGTGTACACTGAGGACATGAAGACTGAGCCAAGAGGTAATCGCACTCACCTACCTGTTAAACTTGATGTGACATCATTGAATAATGCACATGTAGTTGGGCTCCTAATTATTCAATAAGCCAATTAGCTCTGAGTGTTGGCAAACAGCCAAATTCTATCGGCATCAAAAAACTTGGTCATACAGCAGAGTCTGCCTGTGCTGTGAATGCCCTTACAAAAGCTCAACTTTGCGGAATTGAGTCCAGTATTAAGAAGGGCATCAAAGAGGTGACTAAGCCATGTCATGAGAACTTTGTCTTTGAGAATGTGCTGCACATTCATGAATGAGTGCGTAAATGGGGTATCACAAAAGCGGGTCCAATACAAAGCCAGTTTGTTTGTCTTACGGACGCAGCTCTCTCTGTGAGTCTCTCCAGTAGCCGCCATCAAGAGGGAAGGCACCAAGTGCAACCTGTCAGCCTCCAGTCTTAAAGGCAGAAAAACACTTACACAAATTACCTACTCTGTGGTGTTCAGTTACAGTAACAGACAATGAATTAAGATACTCCTCTTCACAAACACAACAATGGACAACAGCAAGGTCAAACAAAGAGTTTATTTTGGAATAGCAAAAGGTTGTTGATGGGACTATGTGTTCAGCAGCAGGACATGGGCCGACGGAGGCAAAGGAAAGCAAAGGTTCTAAAATGTAAAACGAGGAGGGTCATATCAATTTTTGTAACAATTATATTTGATTACAAAAGGTAGTAATAGCAGAGATGCTCTCCACTCACGGACACTCAGTTAGTGGGCCGACATCCCTGTAGAAGGTTTCGCTGCAAGGTTGTAGCATCCATGCTGTGAGGTTACAGTTCTCCATCCATTACTGGGATCACCGGCACCACAGGTCAAGGGCGCATCCTGCTGTGGACTTGTCAGATTCACGAGTGACTTCGTTTGGGTATTGACAATTTTTAAAAACTCCTGTGTTCCTAGCCACGTAGATAAGCACCGGCATGTTCTGAAGTGTGGAGACACGGAGAAGCCTTGACTAGGCACATCCATGTGCCAGAAGGCAAGACAATGTATAGGCAGACCAACCCAACCACAGAGCTGATAAGGAAAACATGGACATTATCTTGTGAAGAACTTGCTGGGAGCATCCAAATGCCACCTGGAGAAACACTGCAAAAATTTTCAACAGATCAATATTCTGTTGATATCCATAGATGAATCCTTTATTTTAATATTTTATTTTTAATTTTTAAACACCATACCCTGCTTTATGTATAGTCTACATATTAAATAACACTATGATTAAATGATTTGCAACAGTTTTTAAAACATGAGAGAAATTTCAGGTTGCAAAACTCCTCCCAGGAGAACAAATTTAGAAAAAAAAATCTTTTTTTCTAAGTAGGTCAATGAAACTAATGTATTCAGTGACTAATTATGTCTAATTCCTATTCCACTGATGGTTAAAAGAATTCAAAAGAGAGCCCAACTTTCACAATTACTGACTCAAAGGAGCAATGCATGTTGGATTCTTTTGGTATGCAAAACTGAAACCTTTTACTCATAAGGAAATAAGTAGGGAATGTGTGTCTTACACCTCCCAACACTCCACATCGCCTATATGATATGTTTACTTTTATGATGGTCTCTAATTTCTTTTTCTATTTCATTCAAGTTTTACAAATAATTAAGACTACCAAGATAGCTTCACAGGTAAAGGTACATTCCATGAAGCCCAGTGACCTGAGTCTGATTCCCATTCCCATGCCCCACAGTGAAAGTTGAGCACCAGCTCCCACAAAGTTGTCCTGTGACCTTCACATGCAT